TCTGTGCTAGTGAAGTGGATTAATTCAAAAACATCTGAAGGAAACAAGATTGTTATCTCAGAAACTCCAGCATCTGCAGTTCCTACTATAAGTGTATAGTGTATTCATTTAAAAAAGTAATTTCTCTTCCTCAGAGAAGAAAATTATTACCTTGTCACAGTGACTATCTTGCATAAATTAACACTGCAAGAAGCAAGATATCGACTTGCTTCACAAAAGGAATTGTGAATGTATATGGCAAAACTTGTTCCATCATCACTGATGGAAACCACGAGTTCTAACTTACATATTGTAATTTCATTAACTATTCTAAGCTTTTTATTAGGTGATGTGTGAGATTTTATTAGTGCCACCTTATTGGCATTGGGAGCAGTGCCCTGCTTTAAAATGTCTGGTGCCAAATAAATGTAAACTTAAAAATATGCTGAGGGAGCCTGTTCCATAAATTAATCTCCTGGTCATTGAAATATTGTTTCCTTCAGATGTTTTTGAATTAATCCACTTCACTAGCACAGACCAAGTCTTCTGGTTCTACAGCTTGTCATGGTTTTATTATCAAGTCTATTTATAATCCTAAACACAACAACTATATTACCTCTCAACCTGCTCGTTTCACATTTGTTGCTTAATCCATAGGAGTGCGAGAGTTTGAAAAAAAAAAAATTTGAAAAATGATACAGCAGCTGATCAGTCCTGTCTTAACCAGCAATAATCTATATGGTGAACTTCAAAACTGTGAACAATGTGAAGCAGTCAAGGGTGACAAAGAGATCCCAAGAGAAGACACAGCATTGAACATCTTTGGTCACCCAGCAGCAAACAGCACAGACAGGGTTGGACTTACTGCATCAGTAGAACTGCAGTCTATCCTTTTTGTCTGTTTGCTCTGGAGATATGGGCAAAACAAGCAAGGTTGGATTTGCTTTTCATCCTACCACCCCCAGTTTGATATCAAAATCCAGTGAGCTGCAATGGAGGTTTGTGCAGACCATGAGTTATTCTTCAAGCAAATTTTGATCACCAAACAAGCATGATATCCAGAAAGAATAAATCGCAGATTTTCTTGGATAGGAGGTAACCATTTAGTCCATTGTGCCTGGGCTGAATCTTTCAAAGAGCTATCCAATTAATACAACTCGACTGCATTTCTCTATAGACCTACATTTTCCTTCTCATTTCAAACCTTTATCTAATTGTTTTTTTTTTTAAAACGAACTATTAAAGCTGCTTCCATCACGCCTTCACTTCATGCAACCAGATCACTGTAACACATGAAGGTATCCTCAGCACCACACGGTTCTTTGGATAATTTTGTGAAATCTGTATCCTGCAATTATTGATCCTTCCAGTGTAAACAGTTTCTCTTTACAGATTCAATTCAAGCTTCCTCAATTTTGAACATTAAATCTCTCCTTAACCTTTTCTGCTCTAGAGAAACTATTCAGCTTTGACAGTCTGGCAACATTTACAGCACAGCACAGCACAGGAACAGGCCCTGCAGCCCAACAGGACTCGGTCAACACATGATACCTTCCTGAACTAAAACCTTTTACCTCTATGGGGTTTGTATCCTTTATTCCCTGCCTATTCATATATTTGTCGAGATGTCACTTAAACGTTGCTATTGTATCCACCTCTATCACGTCCTCTGGTAGCACCCTCCAGGCACTTACCACCACATGTAATAAACCTGCCTCTCACATCTCCTTTAAATGTTACCCCCTTTTACCTTAAACTTATGCCCCTTCTACCTGATATTTCTAAACTGGGAAAAAGACTCTGACCAGCCAGTCTATCCATGCCTCTCATAATTTTGAGGGTTTCTATCACATCGCCACGCTCCCCCCCACCCCCACCCTACATGCATCGCTTGACATTAGAGTGAAAACAAATCAAGTTTATCCAATCTCTCCTCATAGCTAATGCCCTCCAAACCAGGCAACATCCTGGTAAACCATTTCTGTACCCTCTCCAAAGCCTCCTCATCCTTCTTGCAGTGTGGCGATCAGAATTGTACATAATATTCTAAAACATAGCCTAACTAATGCAAAATGACTTGCCAGTGACCTATTAGCTGCTGTGATGAAGGAATTACAGACTTCTTGTGCGAGTGAACTAAAGGACTGAAGGGGCCTCTTCTGTGACTGTCCGAGAATCATAATGCCTCCCTTAGCTTCCAAATAAAAATTCTAGCCTGGCCAGGTGACGCCACATCTTTTGATAGAATAAATAAAAGGATTACCTGTGTTGCATCAGCTAGTGAATCTTGGGTAATTCCAGCAAGCTTGCGCATGTATCTACCATAAAACACTGCAAGAACACCAACTGGAGGAACAATGCCCAGGACAAACATAGCCAGCTGAGGCGACACGTAGAACTGCTCAAGAAAAAAAAAAAAGGAAAATTAAGTCAGCAACATCCACTACGGTCAGCCGACATTCCAAAATGTTAGCAATTGTAAAGTTACACCAGTTTATCACAAACTGCGTTCTGCAAAATGTTAAATATTGTCAAGAACTGCAGCATGAGAGAAAACTGGTTACAATGAACACAGACAACAATCATTTATTTACATTCAACTCATTTCCACTCAATTCCCCAAATAGGCATTTAACTTGATTTTTCTAGTTCTGCGAAATATTGGTTATCATTTGATAACTGACAACATATTTTGAAAATTATTTATAAGCAAAGATCAAAATAGAAGACTGATCTTGTAACATTAAATAAGAGCATTTAGATACTGCCTACTTTGAACTCAGCCAGAAAATACAAACAGACATTACTCAAGACTACTTTCTCAAGACTGTATTCACAAAAGTACAAGATATTCACTTTGACCCTTCTGTTCAACAAGTTTCAGAATCAAACAAATATGAATTCTGCCTAGTGTTACAAACTCAATCCAGAGGTACCTGTGGAAAGTACCCAAAGTTTTAGTATTGAACTGTGTTTAGTTAGCTGCTTTCAGCAAGGTTGACAGTTGGGGTTCTGCAACATCTGCTCCAATGTCCGAGTTAAGGGGAAAGAAGATAGCAAATTCTTCTATCCTCAATTACCATTCAGTGATTTCTGTCGGAAAACATAATTGTGAACATATGATGAAAAGAGAATGAAGATTGGCTGCGATGCCATATGAAAGAGAATTGCCGATTCACAGTCTAGGATATGGCAGTCAGCATCAATGAAACTATTATCAGCAGGTTTCCACATCTTCAGAGGAGATTGGCTAGGCAGGGCAGGGGAGGTGGGAATTGACACAGGCAAGGCATTTAAATTGACCAAAACATGGTCATTGCCATTGCAGAGAAATGTTCACAACATGCCCCTGTTGCATGCTGCCATTTACATCTGTTGGATACTCAAATGTCACACAAACAGACACATAGACCGCAGTTTTCAATCAAATACTATAAATTTATCAACTCCACATTCACCTAAGTGCACACAAACTGAGTGCACAGTTTGAGAATGGAATTAATGCAAAGTGGAAATGTCAACAGTTCTCAGGTCTGTAAACTCCTTGGAAATAAAACACAAAGAATGTGTTTAAAAGAAAGGAACAAAGGTAATGGCAGAGTTAACCAATACAGAAATGGAATAATGTTCGCTCATCGGCCCTTTCCCAGCCTTCACAAACCATCATGCCAACACCAGCTGCTGCTTGACCAACAGCTCTTAGGCCATCAGATAGGTTCTCGGTCACTGAGCGTCCAAGCAGGTCAGCATCGGATGAAAGTCGGTTTATCAGCTCTCCTGTGCTGGTTTTATCAAAAAACCCAATCTCCTGGCATAGAATTGAAGAAAACAATCTTGTCCTCAAACGTTTGACAATCTGCTGTCCTGTGATAGGCAAAAAAAAAATCAAAAGGGGATTAGACTGACAGTACAGGTACCATCACAGTTAATGTCACACATTATTCACATGAGTGCAAGATTTCCATCAACCACTGGTTAACCCTCAGTCAATTTAACACAACCCAGTTCCCAAATAACAGTAAGCTGATGCTGGAAATCAGAAATTAAAAAGAGAATGCTGGGGAAATTCAGCAGATCTGGCACCATCTGTGGAGAGATAAACAGAGTTAATGTTGAGTTCAATGTGACTCTGCTTCAGAACCATTCTTGAAGTAGTCTTAACAGGCTTAAACCAGGAACTCTTTCTCTCTCTCCACAGATGCTGCTAGACCTGCTGAGTTTATCTAGTATTCTATTTTAATTACACTCAAGCTCTAAATGGGCTTTATTGCAAACACTTTCCTTTCCTTGCATCCACTGTGTTCTATAAATGAGAATGTATTCCACTAAAATCCCAAAAATAAATGTGCATTACACAGTGCAGATACGCCTCCTATTCTTTATAAAATCATGTCTTATTCAGTTTCTGACTTGTTCATCTGTCGCATAATTTCCTCATCTTTCTGTTGTTTAGACACTACCCTTCAAATGCACCCTTCTAATCAGCACTTTGCATTAAAATTATTGTGAGTTAATCAGCAAGGAAATAATTTTTTTGCATGAAGCAAGTGTAGTTTAAGCAACTTCTTCAGTTGCATCTGCTGGTTTCACTGAACAATGAATTGCCTCTAAAAAAGCATGCATTTATAGTGAGCCTTTCATGTGGCTGAGAATTCCCAAAGCCCATTAAAACAGTCACTGGTTCAAGCCTGACCCCAGGGACAATTCAGTGCCATCGTGGCTGTGTGATGTAGTGAGAAGTGCTATCTTGACAGTTTGACGATAAATCAAGAGATAACAAGGTGTAGAGCTGGATGAACACAGCAGACCAAGCAGCATCAAAGGAGCAGGAAAGCTGACGTTTCGGGCCTCGACTCTTCTTCAGATGGGTCTAGGCTGGAAACGTCAGCTTTCCTGCTCGGTCTGCTGTGTTCATCCAGCTCTACACCTTGTTATCTCAGATTCTCCAGCATCTGCAATTCCTACTAGCTCTGACGATAAATCAAGTTTTCTTTTATTTTATTTATTCATTCACGAGATGTGGGCATCACTGACTACGCCAGCATTTATTGCCCATCCCTAAATACCCAGAGAGCAGTTAAGAGTCAACCACATTGCTGTGGGTCTGGAGTCACATGTAGGCCAGACCAGGTAAGGATGGCAGTTTCCTCCCCTAAAAGGACATTAGTGAACTAGATGGGTTTTTCCTGACAATCAGCAATGGTTTCATCGTCATTGTTAGACTCTTAATTCCAGATTTTTATTGAATTCGAGTTCTTCCATCTGCCATAGCAGGAATCGAACCTGGGTCCCCAGTTTAATAATCCAGCAATTATACTACTAGGCCGTCATCTCTCCAAGGTTCACTTCGCCCTCTTCAGTGAGGTACAAACAATCCCATGTACTATCTGAAGAACAGGGAGACACTCCCAATGTACAATACCAGCAAAAAGAATAAGTCAGGAATGTAATTGAATACTCTGCACATGCCTGGATGAATGCAGCTCAACAACACAAGAAGTTCAACTCTATCTAGGACAATGCCGCCTGCTTGACTGTACCCTTTCCACTGCCTTCCCCATTGAAGTACAGTTGCAGTAGTGTGCATCTTATCAACAAGATGCAGTAACTCACCAAGGCTCTTTTGACACACCTTCCAAAACCATGACCTCTACCACTTAGAGGGTCAACAGCAATACATAAAAGAAATATTAATACCTTCAACTTGCTCTCCAAATTGCACACCAAAATTATGCTACCAAAATCCTGGAACTGCTTTCCTAATAGCACTGTGGATAAATGCACACTGTACAGATTGCAGTAGTTCAAGAAAGCAGCTCCACACTTTTCTCTGAACAACACACGTTGGTCTAGCCAGCAATACCCATATCCAGTGGACAAATGAAAATACTCTGGAGTCAGAAGCAGAATACCAAAATTTGCAGATGACACCATGTTGTGGGGCAGACATAATATAAAGTAGCACCGAGAAATAAAGATAAGTTTAATAATTAAGAATTGGTGTGTAAATGGGAAACAATTTTTCACTGTAAAAAATGTGTTGTATTATGGTGGAGTAATAAGCAGGCTAAAAAGTGAGCAGAGAGATCAGGACATGGGTACAGATTCACAAATCCTTCAGAACATAGTAGTTAGGAAAATGTGGTACATTTGCCAGGCAGGGTGTGGGGAGGGGAGTAAGTGACAGGTGAAGAAGGAGCAGGCCAAAGAGAAAGAAAACGCAGACCATAATATGTGAAAATTCTGAAGTTCTGAAGAAAGGTCACTGGACCTGAAACATCTACTCTGTTTCTTCTCCGCAGGTGCTGCCAGACCAGCTGAGTTTCTCCAGCAATTTATTTTATTTTCAGATTTCCGGCCTCCCTAATTTTATTGTTTTATTAATAGTAGAAATGTGCATTAACAAAGCTCTAAGGAATAGAATTCAAAACCAGAAAGGTTTGTTAAAACTTACAGTGAATCTCAGTTAAACTACACTTGGGAGATATTGTGTACGGTTTTGATCTCCAGATTACAAAAAGGGACAGAGAAGCATGAGAGAAAGTGTAAAATAGATTTACAAGGAAACTTGACAGATGGGTTTCAACTATCAGGAACGGCTAGGGCTCTGGTGTCTGGAAAAGTGTGGTTTTGGTGCGATCTTAAACTCTGAATGGCGTGTGAGAGTTAAATTGGAATAGATGGTTTAACATTGGAATAAAGCCAAGGGTTATACATAGTTACAAGATCAACAGGGAATTTAAGAAACTTTACCAAGAGATTGGTAACAATTGCATGTTTTCCAAGAGTAGTTAGATGAATTACATTGATACCTTTATCAAAATTTTTATAAAAGCATGAAAGCAAAAAGGAAGAAAAAAAATGAAGAGGTGAGATGGAGTTGGTTTTGACCATCAGTTTGGCCAGATAGGCTCAGTGTCTTATATCGCTGTCCTAAAATTCAATTCTATTTTTGTGGAACCTTGCAATGCATGCACTGGCTACCGCATTTTCCTCTACAAACGTGCAAATACCCAGAAGTCCCTTGCAACCAAATACTTGCACAGACATTTTCTTACCTGAAATCTGCATGAGGTAGACACGGGCAGCATTGGCAGCAGCTCCACATATGAAGACACCACTCAATATGGCACACAGTGAGGTCAGGCTCCCAGTTACATTCTCTCCAACAGGATTCATATAAATGGTATCAATAACCTTTCCCAGAAAGAAGGGAGCAGACATAGTCACCAGGCTGGACACACCCAAGAAGCCCACAGCAGCTGGGGAGAGAACACAATACAAACCTGTAGATATCAGAGCAACTCAAGGGCAGGCTGACTGTACTGCAAAGATAAGGGGGTCGATTAATGAGCAATTTATTACACAGAATTGGCTGTTGATGCACAAATAAGGCCAACTCCCTTGATTCACAACCATGAAAACACATGCCCTTTTACAATCGAGTTTCCACCTGCAGCTTTAGAAACTATGAATAACATTAAGGACACGAGAAATTGCTATCCTCTCTTGGGACCATTTTTTCGAAAAAGCATGATGGGCAGGTAGTTCTCTATCATCATTTCATGGCATTGCCCAATCAGTTAATGCAGCTCAACCGACAAGTGAGATTTCTGATAACAGGGGTGGGGGGTGGTGGTGTGTTAACATAAATTGGAAATGAGAATGGGGAAATGGTGCTGACAAGGCTCAGCGGCTGATTTGAGGAAGGGAGGAATATTTTGGATGCGGATGTCACCACCCCCACCCCCAAAGAGAGGAAGCAAAGCACGGTTCCGCTCCATGCCCTCTCCCGGATGGCAGCGCTTACCTGAGAGCGGCCACCGCTCCGGGTAGGCCAGGGTTAGCAGCCTCCTGGCATCCACCACTGACGCTCCGGTGGTGGGCAGCCGGCTCCGCTCCGTCTCCCGCTCGGCGTCAGGCCGCTGCTTTGGGGGGTGCAGGCCCGAGGCCGGGACCCTGTTACCATGGTAACCCCCGCCGGGTTCAGCTCCGCCGGCCGCGAGTCCCGAGCTACAACGCGGGAGCCGGTTCCACTGCAAACCCTTGGTGGCCGCCTGCAGACAGCGTGTCGCTAAGCCGGGCCGGCTAAGTAGCAGAATCCGGGAGGCCATTCGGTGCAGCCAAAACAGTGAAGGGAGAGTGGAAAAGAGTCAGGCCCCGGCCCCTGGCATCGCTCGGACCATCCCAAAGGTCCCGAGCGTTTCCTGGTGCTGCTATTTATTGTTGCAGACGCCGAGCTTGCACCGCCCCCTGAGCTGCCGCCAGTGAAATGCTTTTAACATTTCCCAACACACCCAGTGCACTGCACATCCACATCCACATCCCCAGCAGCGCCGTGATACCCTCCAAAAACTCTTCATCTCACAACCTGGCTTTCTCCAGTACTCTACTGTTCATCTGTTTATTCTCTCCTTACTCCACGCTCCGGGTAGTACCCTATTTTCTAATTAACTTTGCCTACTTAACTATTCTAAATAGTATTTTTACACGATGGCGATAGCTCCTGCAACTTTACTAAATTACATAAACATTTGAAACTGCAATTTTTAAAACGGTGTAATTTTACTGACGATTCGTCATTTAAACATTGTGCTGACATATGTATATATTTCAAAATCAACAGTTGTTGCATTTGTCTTCCAATTGATGTTGTTCCTTATTCATTTCGCCTGCTGTACAAATAGATTTGTGAATAAGAAGCAAAAGCAGAAATTGCTGGATAAGCTCTGCAGGTCTGGCAGCATCTGTAGAGAGAAATCAGAGTTAACAACTGAGGTAGGGTCACTCGACCCGAAACATTAACTTTCATTTCAGAAACCTTCATTCCTGAAGGGTCTAGGCCCGAAACGTCAGCCTTCCTGCTTGGCCTGCTGTGTTCATCCAGCTTTCTACACCTTGTTATCTCAGATTCTCCAGCATCTGCAGTTCCTACCATCTCCGAAACATGAACTCTTGCTTTCTCTCCACAGATGGTACCAGACCGACTAAGCTTTTCCAGTAATTTTTCTGATTTCCAGCATCCACAGTTCTTTCGGTTTTTATTTAGCACTGTGAATAAGCTGTTCTCATGTTGTGATTAGGGAAAAAGAAATCAAAAATCTAAAAGTTTAGACATACAGTTGTCTGCCCTGTGCATTATTTCCTAGCTATACTCCAGTACTAGGATTTTCAATTCCAAGTTTTGCCATTTTCGTTTTAAAGCTTAATCCACTTGAAAGAACATTATTATGAACATCTTTTACTTTGGTACTCACCATCTCTGCGATTCCACATTTCTCAGATTCCACACCCTTCCACCCAATATAATTGGCCCTGGGCATTATGAAACCAAAATTTCTGCTTCTTGCTGAAATGGAATACCCTGGTTTAGCAAAGAGCAAGGATATACATTCTTCCATGCCCTGATACAAACAGTGGCTCAATGGTTAGCACTGCTGCCTCAGGTGCATGGGTTTCCTCCACGTGCTCCATTTTCCTCCCACAGTCCAAAGGTGTGCAAGTTACATGGATTGACCATGGGAAATGCAGGGTTACAGGGATGGGATGATCTCACATCTCGTCGACTCAATGGGCCGAATGGCCTACTTCCATACTGTAGGGATTCTATGAGTTGAGTAACCTAAAAGGGGGCTATGCACCAAATGCTGGAAAGTAGAAGCAATGGGATGGCTCATTATACAGCAGGTGCAGATATAGGAGGCACACTGGCCTCTTCCTGTGCTACTAATTACCATTTTATCAAGTTGCAACTCAAGTATTTCTAATAGCCTTGAAACTTTTTCCCCACTTTACATGCCCAGCGTTCAATGGTATACTCTCGCATGGGGTGAACAAAATCCACAACCAGTCTGTACTGTTGAACCAAAAGAAAACCGAAAGAACTGTGGATGCTGTACATCAGGTACAAAAACAAAGTTGCTAGAAAAACTCAGCAGGTCTGGCAGCATCTGTGAAGGAAAAAACAGAGTTAACGTTTCGGGTCAGACCAGAAACATTAACTCTTTCGTCTTCTCCTTCACAGATGCTGCCAGACCTGCTGAGCTTTTCCAGCAACTTTGTTTCTGTACTGTTGAACTGCCTTGCTGCATTACAACTTCCATATTCACTGGCTTCCTTAACCTCAACTTCTTTGCCACTGGCTCAATTTTCTTCCCAAGACATTTGTACAGACTAGTAACATTACGGTTGCATTTGCAAGACGGAACAGAATTCCACTTCGTATCAGCAGCACTACTAACATGCAACTTTTCAATACCTCAGGCCACTGACAGAAAACCCTCATTCCTGCAAAAGGCTGATTTTGTCCATGGCTCAGTTCGTTGAATAAAAACAATTCATTGAGCAAACTGCGTAGCCAATTACTACTGGCTTTGCCTCACAACATCTCATACAAAACCTTTTTAGGTCCTTTTCAGCATTCTTGCTTCCTTCATCTCACCTTAATTGTCCTGTCACCCTGGCCAAAAGGCCACAATCCAATTTTCTATTACATTTATTAAGCAAAGTATTTTCAGCAAAAGCTATTTATTCTGCATATCAATGCCACAGATTAAATTGTTTATTGACATTAGAATTTTATTTTCATGTAATTTAGATCCATTCTCATTAATGGGCATGATTCACTGAAGCTATATTTTTAGAATTATAGAATTCCGACATTGTGGAGGCAGGCCATTTGGCCCGTGTCCATACCCACCCTCCAAGGAGCATCTCACCCAGACCCATCCCCTACCCTATCCCCATAACCCTGCAATCTCCATGACTAATCCACCTATCTACACATCGCTGGACACTATGGGCAATTTAGCATGACCAACCCACCTCCCCATTTTGATACTTTTTTTTTTAAGATCAGCAAGATGACTAAGCTGATCAAAACACAAAGCTATAAGAAACTATGAAACCATATTATGTAGGAGCTAACTGAATGAGGTTTTATGTACAGGCAACACAACCGATTTATTCTGCACAAATATTTCACAGCAAGTCTTCCTTAGTTTTCTTGCCCATCCTAACAAGCTAATGTGTTTCATTTACACAACTTATGAACTACTGAACTCTGGAAACCTGTGTTGTCACACTTCAATGTTAAGCAAAAAAACTACATTGCTACAGATGCGTTAAAATGTCTTTCCAATCACCACTTAAAAACAATGTACAGCAAGGCAAATAATTAGCAAATGAACAAAAACGAAGTTGCTGGAAAAGCTCAGCAGGTCTGGCAACATCTGTGAAGGGAAAAACAGAGTTAACATTTCCGGTCCAGTGACCCTTCCTCAGAGAGGAGGAAGGGTCACCGGACCCAAAACGTTAACTCTGTTTTTTCCTTCACAGATGCTGCCAGACCTGCTGAGATTCTCCAGCAACTTCTTAATTAGCAAATGAAGCTCAGCATAAAAGGGCAGCATAGTGGCTCTATGGTTAGCACTGCTGTCTCAGCGCCAGGGACCCAGGTTCAATTCCAGCCTTGGGTGACTATGTGAGAAGTTTGCATGTTTTCCCCGTATTAGCATGGGTTTCCACCAGGTTCTCCTGTTTGCTCCCACAGTTCCAAAGATGTGCTGGCTAGGATTAGCCATGGTAAATGCAGGTTACAGGGACAGGGTAGTATGCTGTTCAGAGGGTCAGTGCAGACTCAATAGGCTCAATGGCCTCTTTCCAACTCGGTAGGGCTTCTACAATAAATAGCTGCATGCTGTATATTTTGTTTGGAATAAGGAAACAACTTAGAACTTAAAAGATGCATGGATAGGGAAACAATGGAATATCATAAGTACAGATATACCAAATCACTCAAAATTGCATCACGGGTTCACAGGGCTACAAAAACCCAAACCGAGCAGCAGGCTTTATTTCTACAGGGAGGCTTGAATAAGTTATTCTAAACCTGTACTGCACTTTCATTAAAAAACAGCTCTGGCCATCATATTAGATAAAAATAATATACAGTAGACACAATGAAAAGTGTGTACAGAAGATTTAGGATGATACCAGAAACACATGGGTAGATATTATTGGGAACGGACTGACAGCATCCGTAAGAATGAAACCCACTAAGCGGTGATCAAACAAAAATCTTCAAAAAAACGTTTTCTCTCAACAGGGAGACCATTAAATAGAGCTATCAACATGACACAATCACCAAGAAATGCAATAGTAAATTCAGAGGAAATGTCTAGAGTAGTCAGAATGTTGACCTCACTATCCACTGGGAGTGGCCAAAACAAGGAAATGGACCAGTAATCCAGAGACCAAGGTTAAATTCTGGGTGGTGAGTTCAAATCCCACCAAGGGAGATGAAATGTGAATTCAATTAATAAGTCTAAAGTTAAAAGCCAGCTCAAGAAGTGACCATGAAACCATTGCCAATTGTGATTTTTTAAAAATCAATTTGGTTCACATACCCTTCAGGGAAGGAAATCTCTGGTCTACATGTGATTCCAGATCCACAGAAATGTTTGACTCTTAACTGCCCTCTGAAATGGCTAAGCACACCACTTAGTTAAAAAGCAATCAGGGATAGGCAACAAAAACTATTTTTGGTCAAAGCTGACATCCCATTAAAGGATGAAAAGCAATTGAGGAAAAAAGAACAGACGGCTGAAATAGTTCAATTTAGTTGAGGAAAAAATAGACTTGGGTGAAGCAGAAATTCTGGCACGGATTGGCTGGCCTGCACTGCATATTCTATGGTTAACAGTCATAATAAAAATGACTGCCATACAAGAACACAAAAGCTCAAAAGGAAAATGTGAATAAAAGCAAGGTGAATTTCAAACTTTGAATATTTTATTAAGTTAAAGCATTACTACAGTTAGTAAACAAACATGTGGCAACTCTGCATTGTTACTATGGAACATCAGAAAGTTGTGCTCAATCACAAGTTGGCACAGCAGACGACCATGGGTATTCAAGACATCTCAGTCACTTCTGTTGAATCTATCGTGCATTAACCTGGGGAAAAAAGTAACCCAAATTATTAAATATACTTTGACAAGCCAGGAATAAATTTACATGAAAAACATTCTAGTCTGATAACTGACATCAAACGGTAAGCAGCAGTAATGACACTACATACAGCATGAAGCCCAATTCAAATGGTAAAACAATTCTTCTACTCCATAGATCAAACCAAATTTCTGCTCATTTTTCTTGAAAGTAATTGCTTTGGGAGCACTGTAACAATAAGCCAAGTTTCATTCTTACCCTGCCCCAACCATACTTTAAAGAAACAATTACCACATCATCAATCTTCAGGATACTACGAACTGTTTCTGTAGCAAGTGTCAGAGCACTGAGGGAGACGAGCAAAGGTTGCACAACCAGCTCCTCCAGAATGTTAGAAATACCACCCTGAAAATAAAACAAAAACCAAATGCAGAATCTGTTTGCTTATATTTTTCTTCACTATGTCCCAGCAAAAAGTACAAACAGAAATATTAGGAATGCAGGTCTCACCTTTCTGACATTAATTCCTGCAGTCTTTTCTCCTTGTGCATGTCTGTTTCTCAAATCTGTGACAGTAGAAATTGGATTAAGACCTGCATTTTCAGCCAAAGTAGATGGGATAACCTCTAGCGCATCAGCATATGCACGTACACAGTATGCCTCCATGCCACTAAGAGTACGGGAGTACTCAGTTAAACGTACTGCCAACTCAATCTCAGGAGCTCCACCTCCAGCAATCAAAGCCCTGTTAAAAAGATATGAATTCAGTGGATTATGCAATTTGTTTCAATAAAATGTTGATCCTATCATTGTGTCACACCAAGATTTATTCCACATAGTGTCAAAAACATTATTGTTCTTTATTTATGATGGGCAAAATTAGTTGTGTAAATCTTTATACAAATTCCTGAACTATTGAGTTTCAATTGGTCAGCGCTTTTCTCAAGTCATACTGCTTTTAAAACCTCAATTCAAAATTCTCATGATTTAATGATGTAATCTTCTATCAAATACAAACAGAAAAATCAAAATGAATATATTCTAAATAAATCGACCATCAGGCTCATGTTGAGGGGTATCACAATTACAAAAGGAACCAAATAGCCAACTTAAAATCAACAGTATGTGAAGACACAAACTTCTGAAATACAAATTTAAATTTAAATTTTACTTCAAACCATGAAGTCCAGATGTGATTAAGGAATTAAAAATAGAAGACAACAGGAAATATAAACAAAAAAGCCAAATAATTCCCATTAATGGTCAAATTGTTACCTTCTCTCTTTAAAGGCATTTTAAACTCCAGCCTCAGATTTAAAGTCAAACATCTGCTCTACTACTTGCGTATAGACTGGAAATATTCAATTAAAAATTAGAAAAGTTAAAAACTGGCCAAAAAATTTGAATAAGACGTGGGGAAAAATTACCTTTTTTTTACCAAGCAGCGGATGACACAAAGAGCATCATGAATGGAACGCTCAGCTTCTTCCATTACCAATTTATTGGACCCTCGGACGACAATGGATACCGTTTTTCCTGGA